CGAGGGTTCTCTGTGACACTGAGCCACAGGAGGATGCCATGGAGAAGCTGGAGAGAACTTTCCATCCCATCTGCAGCCTTTTCCTGATCTGTCTCTCAATAGTCTCCATCCTTCTTCACAGCCTCAATCTCTGGGGCTGTGAATCCATCTAAATGTTAAGGTGCACCTTAACTTCAGGACAGGGCAGTCCTGCTGTCCTGGGGATGGTGCAGGTAGGGCACTGAGATGGGGGTGTCTCCAGCCCCTCCTTCTGTCCTGGGGATGAGGATGGGGCAGGTAAGGCACTGAGATGTTGGGGGCGTCTCCAGCCCCTCCTGCTGTTGGCTCTACCACCTCCAACAGTTCATTCTCCCAGCGTGGATCTTTTGTCAGCAGAATGGCATGGTAGGAATTAGGTGTAACAATGAAGGGTGAGCTCTCTAGACTGTAAAGCACCCTTCATGGTCGCTCTGGGATGCCGAGAACTTCTTATGCTGGCAGATTAATGACTGTACCGCAAGCCAGGCCTTCCACATTTTCCATCTTGAGTGTATGTGTCTACTCAGTGGTCAAGGTCTCAGAAACACGAGAAGCCTACCTTGAACACTTGATCATCGTGTCCTTGCTGCTCCCGCAGTGTCTCTCCATCCCTGCTCAGTGAAGAAGGACAGAATGGTGTCTCCTGTCCCACAGCCTTGGTGGTGGTGGCAGTGGGCAGATGATGTGACTCCCTGGGCACATGGAGGCACTCTGTAGCCAAGCCTTCCTAGCCTGGAGGTGTCTCTGCTAGCCATTCCTTGGTCTTTGCTGTGCCTTCTACATCTGGATGCTTGGAAGGGAGTGGGACACAATGTGTGTCCTGGCTTCTTGGTGATACTGCGAGGGCCCCCAGAGCAGGTATGTGCAGAGGCTGCAGCTGTGCCATCGTCTGGAAACCCCCACTGAGTTGAGACAGTTGGTGTGGGGCACGTGAATGGGAGTGAGTCCCAGCGGTAAAGACGTGTGTTCCTGGATGAGCTGAGTAAGAAGTGTATGATTCAGTCACTCCTCCAGTGAGGACTAAGTGACCGCTAGAGCTGGGGGAAGCTTCCGGACAAGCCCTTCCAGGAGCTCCTGCTCAGCGCTTCTTCCCTCAGGAACACTGACCCAGGTTTCCAGCTCTTCCTGTGTCACCCTACCAGGGTCCCGTCCTTAACCTGTAAATGAAGGCTTTCAGCATCTCCAGCCCTCCGGGGTCAGAGATTTGCTTTGGCTTTGTAGCTTGGCCTGCTGGGACACCTTGTACCTCTCACAGATGCTCACAGAAGTACGTGTGAGTCCCTCCATCTGCAGTGTCCCAAGCTGAGGGTCACAGGCACCACAAGTAGCCATAAATGTGAGTCAAGCTTTTTTTTTTTTTTTTTTTTTTTTTATGTAAAGCTGCTTTTGAAAATGCCTTGTTAACTACCCGTGGCAGCCGCCCACGACCCTGCCTGGTGAGATGGGTGAGGATTTGAAAGAAAGCTATACCCTGCGACCTCCTCCTATATGTGGTTTTGACCCAGGATGGGGTCCTTTCATTGGGTTTTGGTTCTTGGTGGCCAGCTGTTTTCCCTCCTGGTTCCTAGTGCTCACCAATTGCTTGTTCCAAGGCCTGCAGTAAAGCCCGTGGGCGTGCCATGACTGCAGAACCCTCAGCTGCTTCCCTTCTTCTGAATGGACCCTTTTCATCAGGAAATGCTGGGACAAGGGCCTTTTTAAGCCAAAATATCAGAAAAAGGCGAGGGCCACAAGAGCCACTTGCTCTTTGGGTGGGACCATCATCCAAGGAGAACTCCAGAGTTGCCCTGGAAAGCCCCACTGCCTTTTACCGGGCTGGCCTGTACTTGTGGACAGCGGGGCCTCTTCAGGCACCGTCTGTTTGATCAGGATTACTACAGATGTGAATGCCGCTGCCATGGAACTTTATCTTTCCGACTTCTGTGTCTTTCTTCGGCCAACCCAGTACCTCTGCCGTTCAGAGGTGTCCAGTCCACATTAGTACGTAAGCCGCAGCTGACTCGTGTTTCAGTTGGCAGTCTGTGTGTGTGAGAGAGGTGGGACTTGGGGATTGAAGGTCATGTTTTCCTCACTGCACAGTCTTCCCCAGGGTAGCAGGCAGTGTCTGCTGACTGACTTGTGCCTAGAACAAGGCTGTGGGGCAGGCTTGAGACGTCCCAGGGCAGTAGAGGAGGAAGAGGGTGCTGCCTCTGTCTGTGTCAGACTGTCTGTAACTCTTAGGACTCAAAAATCTCTTGTAAGAAGGATTTGGTTTTGTTTTTTGGGTGTTTATTTATTTGTTTTGTCTACTATCTGGGATGGGTGATTGGTAGATTGGCATGCTTCCTTGCCCTGGGTACCCACAGAAAGGTGTGTGATGTTACTGACATTGATGTCTGAGAGGGTTCCCTGCAGTGCAGGGGTCTCAGGTCACAGGGTCACAGGTCACAAGGTCTTGAGCTTCTTGGTATCAGGAACTCAACATAGAAAACCAGGTGCCAGCTGTCTGTTTTGGGCAGTGCTCTTAAGCCAACTCTGAACACCAGACTCTGTGCCAGCAGTGGCCCAGGACACAGCCTAGAAGCCAGGCCGTGGAGCTTCATCTTGTCTGTGGTCTCCCATCCTTTCCACAGCATCCTGGTCTCAGCCTGAGGGTCATCTTGGCCATTGGTGTTCTGCTGTTTCCTGTATATTTCCAGGACCTTGCAGCCCTCAAAGCACTGGGACTCCCTGCAGCGTTCAGGCTGGCTGTTGACAGTAACTGAGGTGGTGCCAGAGCCCTAATGAACCCCGTAGGTGGAGGGGAAGGCCTCTTCTTATCAGACAGAGGAACAGCTAACTTCACAGCAGGTCACAGGGCGCACAGTCTGCTCTTTATCATTGTCCCCTTTTTTTCCAAAGGAAATGCAGGGGAAACCAAGGGGAATTTTGGCTCTTGGTTTCCAAGGCAAAGGTCACTGTTCAGGGTTGGCTGTTTCCAGCTTGCTCTGGTTTCTGCTCAATCTGAGGTGTTGGTGTTTTTTTGTTGTTGTTGTTGTTTGTTTGTTTTGTTTTGTTGGAGTTTTTTTGTTTTTTTTTTTTTTTTTCAAATTAGTGAACAAAAAGAGTTGATGTTGGCCTTGAAAATCAACTCCCCACAGCTGCTTTGATCAACTGGCGATTGTTTTAAGTTTCCTGGGCTCAGCTCTTGGAGATTCTTGGACAGGTATAATGGGGATCTGAATATCTGAAAGCTCCATTGTAAAACTGAGTAGGAAAGGAATGGGGATGGGAATCTGCAGCGGATAGGAGGAGACACTCGCTTGCAGGGTGTCTGCTGAGAACGTCCTTCTTCCTGGAGGGAGTAAGAACGCAGAGAGCCTATCTGTGTTCCTGCCTTCCTAGGTGCAGGCAACAGCTGTGCACAGGAAGGTGTGCGCGTGTGCAAATATTGTGAAGATGATCCTCCTGTGTGGGTCTGTGACACTGGGTGTCACGTGGCCTGTCGCCAGGTTGTCAGGGTTCAAAGGTCTTTACTAGAGAGCCGAGCTGAGCTGCATTCATTTGTAGTTGAACAGTCTCTTTTTACCGAGAGAGGTTTTCTCGATTTCTGTTTTGACTGACTTCTTTTTAACTTACGTTAGAATGTGCATAGTGCTTTGACTGCATGTGTGTATGTGTAAGGGTGTCGGATCCCCCAGAACTGGAGTTGCAGGCAGTTGTGAGCTGCTGTATGGGTGCTGGGAATTGAACCCTGGTCCTCTGCAAGTGCGGCCAGTGCTCTTAACCAATGAGCCATCTCTCCAGCCCCCTTACCATGGGAACTTAATGGGGAAAAGTTCAGATTTTATTATGAATCTGCTGTCATAGAGATCAAGTTATCTCAGAAGCTGCTGGCCTGCATGCAAGTTTAAATGGTGTTTTCTTAGCATTTAGGATGGCATGCTAGATTTAGCTTGCTTTGAGGTAGCGTCTTGATAGCTAGACTGGCTTGAATTCACATTCCTGACTTTTAAATAATTTATTTGACTATTTATGTGCATTGGTATAATGATGTCAGACTCTCTAGAACTGGAGTTACAGACAGTTGTGAGCTGCCATTAGGGTGCTGAGAATTGAACCCTGGTCCTCTGGAAGAGCAGCCAGGGCTCTTAACCACTGAGCCACCTCCAGGCTCTGAAAGAAGAAAATCATTAACCGAATTATAAGTGAAAGTTGCAAGAGTGTGTTTTGTTGTTTGGTTTCTTCTCTGCCCTTTTGTGCATCCTAGCCTTACTGCGTGAGGGGTGTGTGTGTGAGAGGCGTGTGTGTGACATGTATGTGTGTAAGGCGTGTGTATGTGAGGTGTGAGAGGCGTGTGTGTGAGATGTGTGTGTGTGAGGCATATGTATGAGGTGTGTGTGTGTGAGAGAGGTGTGTGTGTGAGATGTGTGTGTGAGGCATGTGTGTGTATGTGAGGTGTGAGAGGCGCGTGTGTGTGAAGTGTATGTGTGTGAGAGAGATATGTGAGAGAGGTATGTATGTGAGGGCTGTGTGTGTATCAGAGAGCAACAGAGAGGGGTGTGTGAGTGTGGGTGTCACTAGGGATTAATTCTAGGGTCTTTTGTAAGAAATGCTCTATCACTGAGCTATCAATCCCCAGCCCCTTCTTTAAAAAGCTTTCTATTTGCCCAGGCTGGTCTTTTAAGCAGTAGGAATCTTAGGCCTGACCCTCATTTTGATGCTTTTGTTGTTTTATTTCCTCCCCGCCCCCCAGACAGGGTTTCTCTATGTAGTCTAACTGTCCTGGAACTCTCTCTGTAGTCCAGATTGGTCTCAGACTCACAGAGATCCACCTGCTTCTGCCTTCCGAGTGCTGGGATTAAAGGCGTCTGCCACCAAAGCATCATTTGCCCCTGAGAACTGCGGCTGCCATCATCCCATTGCGTGTCGCATGCAGCCTGTCCACCCTCAGTGTCCCCTCGGTAGCGCAACTTGCCTGTCTCTCTCGAGATCACTAACTGTGCCCTGCTTTGTTCTTCTAGCTTGAGCGAGAGCTTTTTCATGGTGAAAGGAGCCGCGCTCTTCCTGCAGCAGGGGAACAGCGCTCAGGGCCAGCGGAGTCTTCAGCACCCTCACAAGCATGCAGGTGACGCAAGCTCTTACGTTGGGATCCTTTCTGTGCCACAGGAGAACCTTCCACAGTGGGAGGGGAGTCGTCTTCCCTCGCAGCCAGGGAAGCAGAGCATCATGGGTTTGTAATGACCAGCCTAGTTGCTGGGATGCAAAGATTCCCTGGTGTTCTCTGTCAGTTAACATCTCAGCTTGGACAGTGAGGCTTGGACAAACGGACCAGCATGCGTCCCAGCTGTAAGCTGTCCCTTGAAGACAGCCTCTGAGGTTCTTCATAGCTCACCCGAACATTCGAAAATCCCTCGAGGAGGCCATGTAAGAGCCTTTGACTGCATTGAATGTTCATGTGACAGGGTGCCTTTATCCTATAATGGCTGCCTTTTGGAAAGGACGGAAGTAATAGAATTGGGGACAGACTGAACAATAATGTAGGTCCAAAAACAGACGAGTAGAAATGCCTGTCAAGGCCCAGGGTTGGATTTCTTAGACTATGTGACTGTAGAAATGAAGCCAAACTGAAGGTGGGATGCAAGATGTACACAAGGGGTCCTTTGCGACAGTCATTGGTCTGCAGTCCTTCTGAGGGAGGCTGCTGGGGTCTGGGTATTTACATGGTAGGGAGGCCGCTCTGTCTTTCAGGAGAGCTGGGATGAGACTGTGGACAGCCAAGCATTGCCTCACCCCTGGGTTCACTTTGTTTGCTTGGCCTCTACTTACCCAGTGTCTTATGTCAAATGCTGGTACTCAGCCTGTGTTTTAACATACTGATCCTGTCAACCAAGATTTAGGGCTGCTGTCATTTAAGAAAATAAGTGTCCCGTACGAGGAGGCAGTGTGGTGTGTGGAGACGATGTTTGATTTGGAGCATTCTGGCAGCCAGCCTGTGAGCCCAACACTAGAGGGTAGAGTAGAAGCAGGAAGATCATGAGTTCAAGGCCAGCCTAGGCTACATAGTGTATTTTAGGATACCTAAGTCACTTAGTGAAACCATTCTGTTAAAAATAGACAAACAAACAGGCTTTTAATCCCAGCACTCGGGACACAGAGGCAAGCAGAACCCTGAGTTCATGACCAGTCTGGTCTACAGACCGAGTTTCAGGACAGCCAGGGCTACACAGAGAAACCCTGTCTCGAAAGAAAAAAAAAAAAAACAAACCACAAACCACCATGCTTTAGAGCCAGACAGACCTGGCTTCTGTAAAAACCTTGTTTTATGATTTCCTGAACAGGCAGGGTATACTTCTGAGCTTTGGTTTTCTAATCTTCATAACAGGCATCCAATGCCTCGGATAATGTGGAAGTCACTAATTATGCAGGTGGCCAGACCCAGTGGCCCACACCTGTAATCTAGGAAGTTAGACTGGAAAATTATGACTTCAAGGGCAGCCTAAGCTACACAGCAAGAACCTGCTTCAAAAAGCAAACCCAAACCAGAAAAGAACAAAACGTTCTCGAGACACTGGGGAGATGGCACAGCTGGTAAAGCCCTTGCTTCAAGAGTAGGACCTGGTTCAGATCCCAGGAACCCGGGTGTGGTGGTGTACGTTTGTAATCAGGTGATGGAGAGATGGGTGGTGGAGACAGGTGGGTCCTGAGCCCTCGCCGGCTGACATGGCTGATGATGTTCCGGTGACAGATCCTGGCTTGTACAGAAGGTGAGAAAACTCCTGGCAAGCCAAGATGTCCTCTGGGCTCCACGGACACACAGATGTGTAGTGCGACTTTTCCAGTGGGTAGCAATTGTGATAAAGCTCCAAGCAGCCCTTATTTCCACGTCTGCTGGTATCTGCGGCATGTTATACAGCAACTCGAAGCTCAGGCTTTGTTCAAGTGTGGAATGTGTCACTGTGAGTGAGCTTGGGCAGGAAGTATGAAGCCATTTTGTATCAGACCCTGAGAAAGCTCCTCTGAGTGTCCCTTGAATGCCCGCAGGCAGGAAGACAGTCCTGATTGATTGGGTCTTCTCTGGGACCTAGTGGTGAGCTTGGGAAGACAAGCCACTGGCTGGCCTGGGATGGCCAGCAAACGGCTTTGCTATGTTCCCTCTCCCTGTTGCCTCTCTGACCACCATGGAGAGTAATCAGAGGGTTAATTCTGTGGGGTTGGGTCAGGTTCATTCGGCCAGTTGGTGTAGGGTCTCGCACTCCAGGCTTCCGCCCTCCAATCTGGATATGATGTCAGGCTGGGATGTCAGCAGTTTAGTTATGTGTGAAATGCCTCTCTCATTTGGACATTTCTCGGACACGGGAGTGGGTTACTTTCATCTCTGTGACTTGGGGTGGATGGTGGGCGGATCCAGGCAAAGAACCAGCCCTGTGTGGCTGTGTCGGCTCTTAGAGAAAGCAGAGCAGGGAACGCCCAGTGTGAGCTGGTATCTCAGAGCAGCTGTTGAGTCCTGTTGCTGGGAGGATCAGATAGGAGGCACTGTGGCTTTTTTCTGTCTTTTGCTGATCTTATTTATTGTGGGAAGAACACTTAGCACGAACTGTGCCCTCCCAACCGAGGGGCAGGTTTCTAAAATTCTAGTTTTCTCCGAGAGAGGAAGTACTGTCTAGACGTCACACGTCCATCCTTAAAAGGACAACACGCTATTGCAGCAGGCATGGTGGCTGTGGCTTTCTGGGGCATTTGCTTATATAAGCAGCGGTGTCCTTCCAGGGTTCCCAGCGTGGAGAGTGTTTCACAGTGTTACTGCTTCACTTTGTCTCCGGTTTTTGCAGTGCTGGGCACATATTAGGCAAGTGCTATGCTATGGAGCTGTACCCTCAGCTCCATAGAGTAGAATTAAAACAAACAAAAACTGTAATTGGGTTTCTTTGACGCTCTGCACACAATTGGAAAGGTCGATTTTACTGAGTTATTTCTTGCACTTTCATCCAGATGAGGGTACGCAGGCGTCAAGGCCAGGAAAGGCAGGACAGGGACCCTACATCTACTTTAGCAACACTGCATCCCGCCCCAGCAGCCACACCCCTGGAACACCCACCCATCCCTCAGTGAGCTTGCTGCCTGGCCCTGCACACTCTCCAGACCCCAACTCCGGGGTACTGCCCACTGAAGCTCACTTCCGACCCTAAGAGGATCGTGAGTTTGAGGCCAGACTAGACTATGTAGACTCTGTCCAATAAAAGGGAATGGAGCAGGTCTGGGAAGGGAGAGAGCTCGGTGGTTAAGGGTGCATGTTGCCTTTGCAGAGGACCCAAGTTCAGTGTTCAGCATTCTTGTTGGGTAGCCCACAGCCGCCTGTAATTCTAGTTCCGAAGGATGATCCAGTGGCCCCTTTTGGACTCTGTAGGCATCTGCATGTAGACATACACATAATCCCACTATGTGTACATATTTTTTTTAAGTCTTTTAAAGATAAAACCACTTTTTCTGGTTGGAAATGGTAGTATGTACCCACAGTCCCAGGTCCCGGGAGGTGAAGCAGAAAATTTGCTGCTTTAGATGACTGTCTCTTTACTTCTCTTAGCAATGAAGAAGAAAGGACACGTTAATGATTTCTTTTCTATGAAAAGAGAATGATAGATTGTTTTCCCTCAAATAATTCCTCCTGACACCCAGCATGCTCCCTGTCCACCAGGTTCAGAAGTAACATCTAGCTTATGTGAAAAATGCCTAAGAGTTTGAAGAGGACTCGTGACACTCAGTCTTTTTCCTTAAAGCTCAGCCCTGGGCAGACACCTCCGCAGCCATGGCTGTGGTTTCTGCCTCCTTGCTAGGGAATATATTTGCCTGGATGTGATAACATTCTCCTGAGGGTCCATGTATGTTTTCCAAAGTCTTTGTTGAAAATGTTGCTGACCACTGTGTTGTCCCAGCCCTTGGAATCGGTCTCCCATTTAAAGCTGTCCTTGTTGGCCTCACAGGTGATCTGCCTCAGCACCTTCAAGTGATGATCAACCTCCTTCGCTGTGAAGACAGAATCAAGCTGGTAAGAGCTGAGGGTGGTCTTCAAATGCAGCTCGAGCCCACCTCGATTGTGATTCCTCTTTCTCTCACACTGTTGCCCAGCAACCAGGGTGCTGGAGTACCACTCAGTGACAGGGGCATCACTGGTGTGTGATGCTGTGGTTCTATGCCCAGCACCCCAGAGGGTCCAGGAGCGACTTCACATCTCCAGAGCATCTATGGATCTATGCTAAACATGAATGTAACTTGTACATTTCAACTCTGTCCCCACTGCACGTAGTTGGCTGTTCCCTGTGCCTGGTGCACACTCTCTCTGGTCTTACTCACAAGCACTTGGTCTTCATTTCTTCCCTGATTTGTGGGTGGGGGTCAAGAACTAAAGCCCTTGGTCTTGGTTTGGTGGACAGAGGAAGGGAGCAAACCATCGAGGTGACCCCTTGTCCGCAGGCCGTGCGTCTTGAGAGCGTCTGGACCGACCGTGTCCGCTACATGGTTGTGGTGTACACCAGCGGGCGCCAGGACACCGAGGAGAACATTTTGCTGGGAGTTGACTTTTCCAGTAAGGAGAGGTGAGTCTCAGGATAGCATTTCCCATCAGAGCAGGAGATGGGTCCCTGTTGGCAAAGGGCTTTCCTGGTGTGCTGGGGTGAGTCTCTCTGGAAGATGGGGGGGCCAAGACTGGGGCCACCAGACTCTGGGAACAGGACGTGCTTTTCCAGCTCTCACTCCTCTGCCGCTGTGATCCCTCTGGAGAGTGCACGCAGCTCAGAGCAGCAGGAGAGGAGACGTGGGACTGCTCTCCGTTACTCTGTATTTACCTGGGTGGTTTACTGAGAGAAGGCGTTTGTCTGGCTTGCTGTTTCAGAGACTGCAAGTCTAATGGGAGGCCTCTCTTTGGCCATGGGGTTGACATCACAGTAGTGGGAGCATGCGCAGAAGAGATCAGATGGCGAGACAGAAAGCTGTAGCAGGAGATAGGCAAAGCCAGCATTAATTCCTTCTGAGGGTGGAACCTAGTGCCATTTCCACCAGGTCTCAGCGCGTAAATGTATCATCTCCTCAGTGCTGCAGATTTGGGGACCCCGTTTCTACAGAGGCAGAGATTTGGGGGATCCCTCAAACTTGTAGAGAGGCGCCCTACATAGAGTTGCTTCCTGAGGGTGTGAGAACGACAGTGAGCATCAAAGGACAAGCTGGAGTCAGCCGGGGGATGCCTCCGGCCTGCATCGGGATGTGTCGGTGGGCCTTGTATGAAGTGCCCTGTCTGATATGCTACGGCAGATCAGTGTTTGTTTTTGGCAGGTCCCTGGGTGAAAGCATTAAGGCTTGCGGTTCCCCAGGACTGGAGGCCAAGTAAATTCCATTGTGACCCTAGCGTGGCATGAAATAACACGTGTGGAGGTCATTGCAAACCCTAGATCTTACCCTATTCATTGCCAAGTGGATGGGTTTTTGTCCTGTCCTGTGTAGGAGGTCACAGACTGGGCCCCAGGTCTGCCGAGACATCACAGCACACATTGAGCTTAGCAGAAGACCATGTCACCACCAGGAATGCAAGAGACTTAACAATGGCACGGTGCCAGCTTTGTGAGAGCCCAAGTGGGATTTAGGGTCCAGTAGGCAGCGTGGTGAGGTCAGATGTGTCGGGTAGCAGGTGGACCTGGATTGTTGTTCAGGCTGGGTCAGCAGCAAGAAGAGTTCCAGAGGTCACATGACCACAGTTGGGTCGTCTTGTGGCTAAGCCCTGTGTCATAGGCTGGTGACCAAGACTGCCCTGTTTACTACATGTGAATGAAAACAAAAGAGGGGATAAATGCGTCTCGTGGCTCCTCTTCCCATGCCTCTTAGCACTGGGAGGGAGTTTGCTGCAGCACAAGGCAGGGAGGAGCTGCGTCTGTGGCTTTGCATGCTGAGGGATGCTCTGAAGACCAGCCAGTGTGCTAGTCATGGGGAGAGCAGTGTGGAGCTGTGTGTGTGTGTAACTCGTGATCCCCCTACTTCAGCTTTCCAGACTCGAGCATTAGTGTGTAGCAGTGTCAAAGTTACGGCTTTTCAGTTGATGTCCTAGCCCTGTAGGAATCTTCCGGGGACAGTAATTTTTCCGTGCTGGTAACCTCCTCCAGTACTGAATGGGGGGGGGCACACACGACTGTCTCTTGTAGCCTCTACCCCCATGTAGCAGTAGTTTCTTGTCAGGCAGCCAACCCACTAATAATGACACAGAGACTTATTAATTATGAAAGCTCGGCTTTACATTAGTCTTGTCTCACTAGCTCTTGTAACTTAAATTAATGTGGTTTTATGAATCTGCTTCTGTCACGCGCTGCCCATCCTGCTTCCTCTGTGTCTTCTCCCATCTCTGGCATGCCTAGATTCCATCCTCTCTACCTGGAAGCCCCCCTATACCTCCTGCCTAGCTGTTAGCTATTTGGCTTTTTATTACACCAGTCACAACAATCCACCTTCATGCAGTATACAGATATCCCCAACACCCCTATTTCGGTCATTACTATGGAAGCCTCACGGAGTCCACTCTCCTGGTCACCTCTGCTGATCCTGTAGCAGAGCCTGGTGCTGTCACCTGGCTTATCCTGTGCACCCCATGGGTAAGGGCCTGGTCCTTACACTTCAAGCGCTCATGATGTAGCTGGGCAGGACTCAGGCTCAGCATACCCCATTTGCATTAACTTTTCCTCAGGGGATATACGGGAATGTCCAGTCATCCCAGACAGATGTAAGGATGACTTCACTAAAATCCAATTGCCGAGACCAGTGAGTTTAGTGGGCTTTCTCACAGAGCCCTGGTGAGGGGATATGTACATCACCTCAAAGTCCCCCTCATCGTGCATGGTGACCTTATGGACTCTATATCGTGTAGGCTGCTTTCTCAGTCAGCCATCATCTTCTTTGTAGAGTCTGGCATCTTCCAAGGTCATGTGTGGAAGGGGCTCGACAACAAGAATCCCCAGTGCCAGTCTCCTGGTCCTCCCCAGACAGTTCTTGTTGCTGAAGACTTGGCTACCACTGAATGGTTCTGTTCTGGTTGCTGAAGTACGGGGGCAGAGTCAGAGTGGCAGCTTGTGACTGGGAAACAGATGTTTGCAGAAATGCATGCCTTGTGCATTCACTTATTCGGGTACTTGTGTGTGTACTTGTTAGCCCTTCTCACGTGCTGGGAGTGCAGTTCAAGGTCATGGAAGGTCGTTAGCCTCCAGCTGCAGTCTGTGGGCTCCTACCCTCATTCCCGCCCATTCTGATGTGCCTGTCCTTCCTTGCCACCTCCCAGCATCCTAGCTTTGGTTCTCATGAGTCCCTCTCTCCCTGTGGTCGTCTTGCCTGTGCTGTGTGTCCAGTGTCTCCCTAGCTAGGCCCTGAGTTAGAGCTCCAGCCTGGGCGCAGGGTCAACCCCAGGGCAGTTAGAGGTCTCCACAGATCTGGAGTGAAGAGCACTGGTTGCTCTCCCAGAGGTCCTGAGTTCAGAACCCAGCACCCACATTACTGCTCACAACTATTGTCCCATGAGATCTGATGCCCTCTACTGGCATACAGACAAAACACCCATTCATGGAAGATAAGTAAATAATTAAAATGACTTTTAAGAAAAATAGAATGGGGTTGAGAGACCGGTAAGAATCTCAAGCCTTTTCCGCACTGGGGACAGAGGCACAGGGACACATGTTCTCTGTGTCCGGGTATATCATTGTGTGTGTGGGGGGGTGGATTAGGACAGGTCTAGCCTTCTCAGCTGCTTCTGTAGCCCTGAGTACCAGACTTCTATTCTCCCTGGGCCTCCCCAGCAACCTGCCCCACCCGCGCAATGATTCTCTTCCTAAATTCTTGCCATGAGATTTGTTTTTGGGGGTACAGAAAGTGTGAACCCCTGAGAGAGTGTGTTCTCATGAGTTCCCAGTGAGAGAACGTACTAGAACTGTGTAAAAAGGCTATGTTGGAGCTGTGGTGGCTGCAGGCACCTCCTTAGGCCTTCTCAGGACTGAGTTAACCTCTGCTTCTAGTTCAGGGACCCTTTGAGTACCATGAGCTGGTGTGGCACCCTCCGTCCACTTTTCCCCGCATCTGTAGAGAGCTTTCAGAGCAGGCTCTCTGCCCAAGCCTGTGACTCCTCCCTGCACCTCTGGGCTGGCCCAGGTCCAGCTAGCTGCTTTGTTCTTGACTCACAGGGACCTGCAACCTGCTCCCTTCTCCTGCAGTTGCTCCCAGCTACTTCCTCCTTCAGGGCCGTCTGTCACTTGTGACAGTAGTGAAGATGCAGTTTCCCTAACCAGTCCCTGCCTCACTTCCTGTGTGTGTCACGCCAGAGCCACCGTCACTGTCCTGCTCTGTTGGGAGTTGCATGGCAATGCCGGAGAGTCACGGTAATGACAGCCGTTATTGTCACAGTCACTGAATGCGTGGAACTGTTGCCGTTATTGTCACAGTCACTTAGTGTGCTGGGCCCTAGTCCTCCAGGGACATCTGTCCACTGGTGTGCCAGCCGGTCACGCTTCTTCTGATTGATAGAACTGTCTCATGGACAGTTTCAGCCTCTGCTTCCCCTGGAAGGTTCCAGACCTGCTAACACATCCCAGGGTATGTACCCAAGCAGTCTCTGTCATTTTGGGGCATCTAAAGATGCTCTCTTGGCCTTGACACAGTTGCAAAGTCTTCAGAGCCCTGTGGGGCTCATCACGTGTCTCATTTTGCAGCCCCCAGTGCTGATGGGTGGACAGGACTGCGAGAGGGACAGAGGGAATTTGCCAACCTGGATGCTTAGTCTAGTTTAATCTGGAAGCCTTGAAACTTCCTCCCCACAGATACTGAAAGGCAGGATGGCGCGAGGTAGGCAGAGCTCTGGAGTGGGGTCGGCTCCCTGAGCCCCAGAGCTCCTGTCACTCAGGCCCAGGAGGGAATAACACCACCCCCACATCCCACCCCATACTCTTCCCTCACCACCACCCGCTCCCAGAGCTGTAGCTCTGGAGAGATAGATAGACTCTTGGAATTCCTGAGGCCCGTGGGGCTGCCCTGGCACGGTTGCAGCAGTCTCTCAGAAGCCAGCTCTTTAAATGACTGAAGAGTTTTCATCACAGTCTGAGGAGCCCCTGATAAACCCTCCTCTCTGTTTATCAGTGGCGCCGTCTCTAAAGTCAGTGAGTATCATTTCACTGCTAGGATAGGCAAAACAGAACCGGATTGAACTAGTTTGTAAAGTGGCAACAACACAAAAGGTAGGCAAACAGAAGCCTGAGTATGAGCACGGTGTGGGGACCTCCTGTTACCCAGGACAGAAGCCTGGGAGGGGCTGTCACGACTTGCCTGGGCTCCACAGTTGGTATGATACTACTAATTTTCCCCACCGTAGTGGGGGCCTGTGATCAGCTGCTTACCCCAGGACCCCAAGAGCCCCTCTAGTTGTGGAGTTACAGCCACACCAAAACAGTTTAGGTGCTTTCTCGCTCCCTCTAGAGGGGATGCTCTAGGCCTGTGTCTTCTAGAATCCATCAGTGAGTGGACACAGCCTGGGAACCCCTCTGTGCCAGGCCAGGCTGTTGTAGCTCAGCAGAAAGACTGAGGGAAAACTGCATGTTTGCGGGCAGACACTGACTCTGACATCTTCTCTTTCCATGTAGCAAAAGCTGCACCATTGGGATGGTTCTTCGCCTGTGGAGCGACACCAAGATCCACCTTGATGGGGATGGGTACGGAAACACCTTTAAAAGATACTTTTCTGGGGGCTGGAGAGGTGGCTCAGGGCTTCAGAGCACTGGCTGCACTTACAGAAGACCTGGGTTTGATTCCCAGCACCCACATGGTATCTCCCAACCACCTGTAACTTCAGTTCCAGGGGGATCCTACACCCTCTTTGGGCCTCCGTGTGCAGCAGGCATGCACTTGAAGCACAGACATGTGTGTATGCAGTCACACATAGACAAACATTTTGTGAACTTGGTTATTTCCCTGTACACACCAAAGCACCAGCAGAGCCCAGGTCTGTGGACAGCCTTGTGCATTATGTTGGTCACCTCAGAGGTGTTGCATTCTCCTGGATGTAGGGATTTAGCTCAGGAGACACCTCTGCAGGCGCGTCCCACCAGGTCTGTGGATAGTGGTACGGTGGTTACCTCAGAGGTGTTGCATTCTCCTGGATGTAGGGATTTAGCTCAGGAGACCCCTCTGCAGGCGCATCCCACCAGGTCTGTTACAGTGGAGTGTGTTTGCTCTATTGTGTAAATCATTCTGGGCCCTCCCAGGGCTATGACCCAGAAGTGCACAGGTGAGCGAGACACTGCAGGGTAACTCACATTTGGGGTGCCAAAGATGCAGCAGAGTTCCAGGTGCCGCTCTGTGGCTGCAGAGGAAGCATTGCCACCTAGCCTGGGCAGGTTGGGGGCCGCAGGGTACCACCTGCGCTTACTCCTGGAAAGTGCGGTGCACGAGGAGAAAAGTTGAGAGGGAAGCTGCTCTTGCAGTAGGACTCTGGGCTGAATAAAGATCTGCTCAGTGGAAGTGCTGGGATCGTGGGGTGTTGTTAAGGCAGGGTGTGGCTCGGTGATAGGATTCTTTTGATCTCAGCACCTCTTTAAAAAAAAGGTTTTTTCATTAGTTTATTTTTATGTGAAAGAAAAACAGGTGAGTGTGTGGCGCTAAGTAATGCTGGAAGCCACCCTGCTCACACTCAGCTTGGAAGCAAGCCCCGATCAGCAGGAGTCTTCTCTACTTTTGCCCATCTAATGTGGCATATCCGCCGTCCCTTGTCGGACAGCAGGAGGCATACTGGTCCCAGATCTGGGGTGGGGCTGCACCCAGAGTCTGGAAGTGACTAGACTGAATGCTCACTTCTTTCCCGTTTTCCTCCTCAGTGGGTTCAGTGTGAGCACAGCCGGCAGGATGCACGTCTTCAAGCCCGTGTCTGTCCAGGCCATGTGGTGAGTGTGCTTTGGGGGACTTGGAAGTCCTTAGAAATAGTTCCAACCTGACAACCTGGATAGAAAAGTCATTTCTGGTCGGGAGTGTGCATCTGTGTGTGTGTGTGTGTGTGTGTGTGTGTGTGTGTGTGTGTGTGTGTGTGTGTCTGTGTGTATGTGTCTGTGTATGTGCCTGTGTGTTTAGAAACAAATCATGTGTAGCGTAAATAACCCCTGTAGCTGTTGGAGGTATTTGGTGCATGTTGGGCGCCAACACCCCCATCCACTGACAGAACACACTCATCATCCCAGAGGAAGCCTCCCCTCAGCTCCCCAGCCCCAGAAGATTCTGTACGTTCTGTAGCGGTGAACTGCCCTGTTCTTGGAACATCTGTGTGAACACACTCAGTTACTTGCCTTCCCTGTGTCGCTCTTCCCCCCGATTGGGTGTTCATGTTCGTTCATGTTGTGGCATGAGTCAGTCTCCTCTCCACAAAGCTGAAGAGTGCCTGTCAGCCTTGTGTCTACCCTGCCGTCCCTGCATGCTTGTTTCTACCTTTGATTGTTACTGTAGATGCTGACACTAGGACTATTCCTGGATGCTTAATTGGTTCGAGGCTCTGCTTTCAGTTCTTTTGGGGTCTCTACCTCTACAAGTGAAACTGCTAGATCCTGTGGAGAATTCTTTTTGTTTGAGACTTGGTCCAAGGCTGTCCTGGGAATCACTGTGTAAACCAGGCTGGTCTCGAACTCAACCCACCATCACTTCCCAGTTCTGGGATTCAAGGTGTGTGCCATCAGATCCCCCAGTCCTGTGGTAATTCTGTGTTAACATTCTGGAGAGCCACCACGTGTTGTCCGCAGCAGCTACCCAAGTCCCCCAGCCAAGCTCTGGTCTCTGCAGATCTCTGTCTACATTATTCTGTTTTATTTGTTGATTGCCATCTTAGTGACCTGTCAAATAGTGTCTCAGTGTGTGGTTTTTATTCTCAATAGCGTGTGTGTGTGTGTGTGTGTGTACACGCATGAGGGAATACAGGAGTGCATGGAGACCAGAAGACGGTGTAGGACCCCCTGGAGTTGGGAACTGAAGACATGGCTGCAGGAGAGTCTTTGTGTGTGTGTGTGTGTGTGAGAGAGAGAGAGAGAGAGAGAGAGAGAGGCCCATGAGTTAAGTTTCCTAATTTTTTGTATGCATTTTATATTTGTGTGTGTTTGTTGAGAAATGTTCTATTTAAGTCTTTACTCATTTAAAAAGTGTATTAAGGTTGAAGATGTAGCTTTACCTGTTGACCTGGTCAATACCATACCATCCTGGCACGCGCTTACTTATTCCTTCCCCTGGCACTCAGTAGGTGCTCTGTCTGTGCGGCAAAGGACAAGAGCTCTGCTCCGCTGGAGCAGCGAGTGGCTGGGGGGTTGGGGTGGTCACAATGTAAACAGGAGTCGCCTCTTGGGGTTTAAAGCATCTTGAAGGGAGGTGACTACGCATACGTGAGCAAACTTGTATGCCATGCCAAGACAACTGGGTAGGCGTTCTCATGGTGATGGAGCCTCAGAATAACAGCCTGGGTCCAGGGAAGGGGGTCTCCCCAACCTCTGTAGTGACTGTGGGTGAATGTGGAAATGTCCACAGCTTCCTAAGTCAGCCTCCTCTTACAGCTCTGTCTTAGGTGTGTCCACCAGGGGTCCTGCGGCCACATGCTCACTGTGGGTGTGGCTCAGCAGGTTTGTAGCAGACAGTGTCACACTGCAGTTTCTAAAAGCTGGGTACTGGTGTGGGCTGAGCAGTTCTTGTAACTGCGCAACAGAATAGTTGGGATAAACCAGGAAAAGCTTCGAGCTCGAGGAACAGCCGATAGCATTTCCCAGTAACTCTGCTTTTCCAGGGCAGGAGACGCCCGAGGTGCCCTCTCACGGGCCGCTCCTAGACCTGTGTCTATCCCTCCATCTCACTCTAGGGTCCTCTGAGGTGGATGAGGGCAAAGAAGTCAGTGTTCAGAGGATGAACAAACCAGCAACGCCCCAAGTGTTTCTTTTGTAACTGCTGGCTGCCTCTTTTCTCTCTAGCCAAGTTATTGTCACCGTCATCATTATCATTATTCAATTTAATAAGCATTGGTTCCAAGTTTATTCCCTCAAGCAGCCTAGACGGTAGGGTGGATAAAATTACAAAAAATGAGGCTCCTTGCAGTGTGCATGCGCCATCATAGAAACCCTCACCTGGTGATGCCCTCCCTACAGGGCTGCTTCTGCCGTGGCCAACACTACCCTCCCTTGGCAGCCTCTTCGTTGAGAAATTTTCAGCCTGATTATTTTTTTCAAAAGAGGTAAAAGAGGCTGATTAAATAAAACACACACATTTTTATGCCCTAAGGCCCTAAGATATTACACACTGGGGTGGGGGGATGTCCACAGATGGGCTCAGGAGTTTCTGCTCTTCCTTAGAGACCTTTCTCCCCCACCAGTAGATGCCTGGAGTACAGTCCTGCCTGTGTTCCAGGTTGCTGTGACTTCAGAAGCAGATCTGGCATCTTTTGGAGTTGGTTGCTGGAATGTGACCCAGCCAGCTTGGAAGAGTTAGAGATTGGGATGTGCCTGCTGCTGCTGTTTGTTTACTTCTTTGGAAAGGATGAGGGATATCCTGTCCTCTGAGTTTAGTTGACACAGTCTCTGGGAGCTAATAGTTGTACCTGACTGCCGTGTGGGCAGGGAGTCCCTTCCAGGTGCCCATCCCACTGCCATGAAATGAGTACCCTTTGCAAGTTGCAGAACCCAAGTTCCTGGTCCTGAGCTTCTCTCTCCTCCCCCAGGTCTGCCCTCCAAGTGCTTCACAAGGCCTGTGAAGTGGCACGGAGGCACAACTACTTCCCTGGTGGGGTGGCGCTCATCTGGGCCACCTACTATGAGAGCTGCATTGGCTCTGAGCAGACCTGCATCAATGAGTGGAATGCCATGCAGGATCTGGAGTCCACGAGACCCGACTCCCCAGCCCTGTTTGTGGACAAGTATGTACCGGGGCTGCCTCCCCCACTACTCAACACTGAGTCCTCTCAGGGTCACACTGCTCAACACTGTGTCCTTCCAATGTCACGCGGCTCAACACCATGTCCTCTCAAGGTCGTGTTTCCCTGCAGCCCCTTCTTAGAACAGGTTTTCAGGTAGAACTTGTTACCAGAGTCTATGATTCTCAACCTTCTTGACACTGCAACCTTAACACAGTTCCTCATGTTGTGGTCACCCCAACCATAACATTATTTACGTCGCTACTTCATAACTGTAGTTTTGCTACTGTTGTGAATCATGATGTAAATATTTGTGTTTTCCAGTGGTCTCCTAAAGGGGTCTCCCCACACCCACAGGTTGAGAAATGCTTCTCTAAAAGAAGGGTTTGTGCGCGTTCCCTCTCCCTCGCACGCACATTCGCCCTTTACAGCAGTGGGTTTGATGAGTGCGTCTGTGAGACGTGATCCTGCGCTTCAGTCAGAGCACCACAGAGATGCCCCACCCTGGATGCCCCTCCTCCTGCTTGTGCTCTGTGCTCAGAATGTGTCCCCACGGGTTGGTAATAGCAAATTCAGCCCGCTGTGTTGAGCCTTCACAACTTCCTCAACAGAGAAAGTGACTAAGGCTTCTCAGGGGTCAGGGTCCCACTCCCTCAGGGAGGTGTCAGCTGGGAGACTACTGGAAGAGAAGAGTTGCTCCGACTGCCAGACGCCACCAAGAATTCTTGAGATGAAATGATGGCCGTTTGAGACTTTGGCGGGAGGACTGCCCCAGTCCCCATGACCCTAGGAGTTAATTAACAGGGCTGACATGCAGACGTTATGAGGACTCAGAGACTTGGATTTCACGTGAGGACTCATGCAGCAGTGCCCCAGATAGGAATAGCAGGTGGAGATGGTCCAACCGTGTAGGGATGTAGGCAGTTACAGCATGTGGCCTGTGTGAGGAGCCAGTCCTCTACCCACTGGCCTGCTCTCTTTCCATGCTGGGCTCTTGTGGGGTACTTCTCCAAACACTGTACACACACCCACAGTAGCCGAGGTTAGACCTGTGAGGGTCTGACGTCTGTCTGAGATTTCTTTCTCAGTTCTGCAGCTTTCTGTATGTTTTCTTCCTAGGCCAACTGAGGGGGAAAGAACTGAGCGTCTCATTAAAGCCAAGCTCCGGAGCATCATGATGAGCCAGGACCTTGAAAATGTGACTTCTAAGGAAGTAAGAGACCCCCCCCCTGCCCCCTGCCCATAGCAGGCCCAAGCCCCTTACGCATGTTTGTCTTGCCAGGTTCCCAGCAGAGGCCGGCCCGGTACCTTCCAGTGTTGGCACGCATCCCTGCATTTTGCCCTGTAGTGGCACTAGGGCTGTGGAGGACCCAGGCTTAGAGTTAGACTTCAGTCCAACTCCAGAGATCATGAGCAGACTGTCGGCCCTCTCTCAGCCCTGGGGGAGGTTGTAGAAGGTCCTAGGTTCATCCAGGGAACCTCAGCCTTCCATGCCCTTTCCTGCTTTTGTGTGCCCCCCACACAGATGGCCGGGGCCTGTGCCATCTCAGACTGCTCCCTCTACCTTTTAAGCCCTCCTTGATCAGTTTTTCTTTTGTCCCTTGCTTGGTAGAGGGAGATGCTGTGGGCATTAAAGAGATGGCTCCTTGGTCAGGAGCATTAGTGCTGTCCCTTATGGTAGCTCACAGCCATCTCTAACTCCATCTCCAGGAGATATGACGCCCTCAGCTGGCCTCTACAGGTACTGCATGCAGGTGGTGCACAGATACCTACAGGCAGAACCCTAGAACAAATCTAGAGGCTGTTGGGGGCGGGGGCACACACCGTTAATCCTAGCACTCAGACAGAAATTCTCTGTGACTTCAAGGCCAGCCTGGTCTACATAATGAGTTCCAGGCCAGCCAGGACTACATAGTGAGACCCTGTCTCATGAAATAAAAATCTTTAAAATGTTTTAAGCTATTGTATTTACTTATATATTTAATTGGGGCTGGTGTGGGTGGGGTGGACAGCACATGTGTAGGAGGGAAAACAGCTTGCAGGAGTTGGGGTTCTTCCACTCTGTGGATCCTGGGGCTTGAACTCAGGCAGTTGGGTTTTGTTCCTGGCTCTTCTACTTGCTGAGCCGTCCTGATGGTCCTGTCCTTTGTTTTTATTTAAAGAATGCAACAAATTACAGGAAGTTTAAAGTGTTATTTATTATTTATTTATTTATTATTTTGGTATTTGTGAGTCTGGCTAGCCTGAAACTCACCATGCATACCCTAGGCGCGCCTTGACCGCAGTCTTCCCGCCTCACACAAGTCTTCATCTGTAGTTGATGAGTACTTTGATCAGCCATGTGTGATACCTTCAACAGGAAAGTGGCTTTACCTTCTCACTGCAGCAGTATTGGTACCTAATTGTGAAAGTGAAAGTTTTAAACGCACAGATGTGATCCTATGTCTGAACACATTATCCTGCCACCACACAGATGTGCTACTGTGTCTAAACACATCCAGGACACAGTGCCCACCACCACACAGATGTGCTACTGTGTCTGAACACATCCAGGACACAGTGCCCGCCACCACACAGATGTGATCCTGTGTCTGAACACATTATCCAGGACACAGTGCCCGCCACCACACAGATGTGATCCTGTGTCTAAACACATCCAGGACACAGTGCCCGCCACCACACAGATGTGCTACTACTGTGTCTGAGCACATCCAGGACACAGTGCCCACCACCACACAGATGTGCTACTGTGTCTGAGCACATCCAGGACACAGTGCCCACCACCACACAGATGTGCTACTGTGTCTGAACACATTATCCCGGACACAGTGCCCGCCACCACACAGATGTGCTCCTATGTCTGAACGCATTATCCCGGACACAATGCCCACCACCACACAGATGTGCTACTGTGTCTAAACACATCCAGGACACAGTGCCCGCCACTACACAGATGTGCTACTGTGTCTGAACACATCCAGGACACAGTGCCCGCCACCACACAGATGTGATCCTGTGTCTGAACACATTATCCTGGACAAAAGAAAGAAGTCACATTCACCCTTTTTGTAACCAGTACTGTACAGTACTGCACAGAGGTCACAGTTCTTTGAACAGATCGCTCTTAATAGGTTCTGCCCCAGCGTCACCTCTGCTCTGTCCCGCCCACAGATCCGCAATGAGCTGGAGAAGCAAATGAACTGCAACCTGAAAGAATTCAAGGAGTTCATCGATAACGAGATGCTGCTCATCTTGGGCCAGATGGACAAGCCCTCCCTTATCTTCGACCATCTTTATCTTGTAAGAGTCATTGCCCCTGGTCCATCTGGTTTGGAAACCACGTTCACAGATACATGCTTACGAAGCCCCAAGATAGACTTGGCATCTATCTGAAATACAAGTGGCTGAGCTGTTCCCCTCTGAGCCCTGTTCCCAGAGCCCACCGAAGGATCCACCCCATGGTGTCACCTGTGCACCTCCAGCTCAGTGTCTTCATGCCATAGATCTATAGAAGGCAATTGACTAGTTTTTGAAGGCAAGCAGGTTGTTAAAACTAGCCAGGAGATCATGAAGTCCAATTGAAAGTCAGACCTAGCAAGGCCAAGGTCCCCCTCCACCTCACCTGCCCTGTGGCCCATGGTAAGTCACCTTGCCACTGCCCTTCATGGGGTGATTGTAATTGATGGTTAAATAAGACACATCCTGGAGGTGACGAGTGTAGTTTCTGTAGGCCTGGTTTTGAATACGGATGGAGACTATGGTTAAAGGAATGTCTCTTACAGGAGCTGAAGGAAGTGGCTTCGGCCACTGAGGGAGACAGCTTCAGTCTCCATAAACACAAAAACACGCACACACATAGTATATGTGGGCTTTTGAGACAGGAGCTAGCTCCGTATGTAGCTCAGGCTAGCCCAGACTTCGTGATCTTCTGCTTCAGCCTCCTGAGCATTGAATGCATCTTTATGTTCTTGTTTATATTTGAGTCTTCCTGCATGAACAGATTTCATGCTTTATCCATTGAGCTTCCCAGGAGAAAAAGTCGGCAGGAGACGGAGATAGCGGGCCATGTTTGCCAGGACTACAGACCTTTGCATTTCCAGAGTAGTGATTGCTTCTTCATGTTTCTCTTCTGTGTTCCTTGAAAGACCAGGAATAGAGGAGTTTTTAATGATACAGTTTGTAAAAGTATCCAGTCGTGCATTCTGTAGACAGTTGGGAAGAGTAAAGCTGTTCCCAGTCTCCCACGCTGAGGGAGTCAGTCACTCAGCATTTTGATGTGTTGATTTTTACATTTTTCATTTTCTTGTGGTATTAGAATTAGAACCCAGGCCCCAAACACTGTGTTTCTCTGATGCCTGTGTAGAAAAAGAGACAGTGCCCTCTCCGCTCGGGTTCATAGTCATGTTCCTCTTGGCTTATTCCTTACACTAACATGATGATTTATTTATTTTATTTCCAGATTGGTTTTTGGTTTTTGAAACAGGGTTTCTCTGTGTAGCCCCCGGCTATACTGGAACTCACTGTGTAGACCAGGCTGGCCTGGCCCCGAACCTAGAGATCCACCTGCCTCTGCCTCACAAGTGCTAGAATTACAGGCCTTCACTACCGTCCCCTGGCTTATTTTTTTTTTTTTTTTTTTTTGAGACAAGGTCTCACTCTATATCCCTGATTGGCCTTCAGTTTCAAATTCATGGCAATCCTCCTGCCTCTGCTACTTGGAACTAGCGTGGTTTCTTTTGAAATGCCCATCCTAAGGATCTATTGCCATTTATCTTATTGGTTCCATCCTCTTAGACCTTTGGGTCCCTGTTATTTTCCTGTGAATAACCCTAAATGCCCATGTTCCTAAGTCAGTGTGAGCCCTGGCCATCCCCTCAGGATCAGAGGGTGGGGACTTTTAAAATTAATACCAAAATACCTGCCAGGAAAGGGAGAGGGGTCCATCTCCCCCCACCCCCCGTAGCTGATGGTGAGGTTTCAAGTCACTGCATGTGGTGGCTGTACCCATGCTGGCTAAGAAGATTGGGGGATATCAAGCAGGCTTCCATGAAATGGGGGGAAGAAGACCATCTTCCTCTTAGACTCCTGCCTCTCTTACTTCTTTCTGATCCTTCTTTCTGCTCCGAGGCTGAGGCTCCACTGTCAGGGCCCCTATGCATCCCACAAGCAGCTCTGTGACACTCACAGGGGTTTGTGTGATCTGTCCCCCAGGGTTCCGAGTGGAATGCATCCAATCTGGAAGAGCTGCAGGGCTCAGGGTGAGTCTGCTCCCCTCTACCCCATCTCTCTAGGCAGCTTAGGCATCGCTACTCTGTGGAGGCTACAGACACTGCCTGCCCACCCTGACTGCCTCAATCTGGTCTCTGCAGTGGCTGGAGCATCTCATGTGCTTCAGAATGCTACCCAGAGGGATCCATGGGCTCTAGATTTTTCCTGGAGTCTTGGGTGACTGGGCGGGGGCTCAGGGAGATCCAGGAACAGCTTAATCACACTGTGGAATGGAGGACAGCCTGGCCCTGGGCAGGCTCTGAGCTCGCTCCCACAGCCTCACTCCCCAGCAGAATTGCTTGGAACCCGAGTGTGGACACACGTCTCTGTTGATCTTTTGGTCCATCAGCAGCTCTAAAAACTGGAGCACTCCTGGCAATACTTGGTGCCTGGTGGAATCTTGTAACTGATACTCCCCGCTGTCTCTGAGCAATGCTCAGCAGCAGGAGTGACAGCCACAAAATCACCATTCTGTGGTCGGCCTGATGTGCCTGCTGGCCTTCTGGAACTTACTGCAGCTGAAAACCGAGACTAAACAGAGCTTAAAATACATCTTTAGGGCCTCCGGTCAGCAGAGCGGTCATCAGTGAGAGGCTAGACTTTATGCTTCCATTTTACTGGGAGTAAATTGTGATTCGTTGTCATTTATGGTGAAACCTATTTGAGACGTTTCCAATTACCAAAATCGTTTTGGTTTTCTAGAAATGAATGTACTGGTTAAGGGTGAGGGGCCGTGGGGTTTGAGTTAGTGGATGCTCTCGTCTAGGGCATGAGTAATAGAAGGCCGTATTCTGCATTTTAGCAAAAGAGAGCGGAGGCTTTTTTTTTTTTTGTAAAGGGTTTTTAGTATGGCATTTTAAAAAAATAATACATTCTTGTCATGTGGAGAAAACACATGGAAATGACTGTTAAGCAAAATCAGTTTCATTAGGAACATAGTGCTGTAGTGTGTGTATAGAAATTGACTTCTCTGCCAGTTTTTTGTGACTTGTTTTCCTTGCTCCTCATTCTGATTCTGTAGGCTCTTTGCTTCTTTTCTCTGCAGGGTTGACTACATTTTAAATGTCACTAGAGAAATAGACAATTTTTTCCCTGGCTTATTTGCATACCATAACATCCGGGTCTACGATGAGGAGACCACAGACCTTCTCGCCCACTGGAACGAAGCCTATCATTTTATAAACAAAGCAAAGTAAGTTTGGGAAATTGGTCTTAGGAGGAACAGGTGGGCAGAAACGAGTGGCGGGCTAGATGACGTGGAAGTAGGCAGCCCTGGTCATTACAGATGCCCAGTGCCGGGAGAGGCTTTGCTGTCCAGTGGGCCTTTGGTTTTAGCAACAGGACACCAGGCACCAAAGCGAACAGACAAGGATTGGCCTTGTCCACAGTGTGCCTTCATATTCTCTCCCAAGGGCCCATGATTGTGATGTTGAGCCCAGTTTTCGTCATTAACTCTGATTCCAGGCCAACGTCCAATACAAAGTACCTCTAGGTAGCTCTCTGGGGCATCCTGGAAAGGGCTAGTGCATGCTGGGCCTAGAACTCTTGGACAGCTCCCCCAAAGAGTACGGGGGGGGGGGGAGTTCATGTTCCTGTGTGCCTAGATGGGCAGTCCTAAGATGAGGCCATCTCCACACCTCCTGAGCCCAGCCCCCTCCTTATTCTCCTTTGGAGCAACTGTTATATTGAAGTCCAAAGCAAAGATACCCCCTACCGCCTCCACCCCGTGCTGTGGAGAAGAACCCTCTTCTGTTGGAGTCTCCCAGTCAGAGCTACAAGGTGTCCTTACCAAATGCCACTTCTCTTGCTTCCCAGGGCACAGACTCCAGACTCCTTGCTTGTGAGTGTAGAAGGCAGGAGGAGCAGTGTTGTGGGGATGGGACTGAAATCCTAGTGTAGGAAACTGGAGCCTGCTCACCCCACTTCAGCTTCCCAGGTGCAGCCTCTGCCAGCCTGGCGTGTCTTCACCCTCTCCATCAGGGAGAGGGTCATTGTCCCTTGTGTATCTGGTAAATCAGCTGTGCCCAGGCCAGCACTGCCTTCTTACAAGTAGCCGGATCACTGGCCCCGTCCTCCCCTGGCTCGGTGGTTCTCTGGCCAGGTTGCTGTCGTCCTTGCGCTTCCTCCAGGAGCTCAGTCTTTCCCCAGGGTGCAGCATTTTTGCCTCGCTGATTCCGTTTTCTACAGTAGTTCATTCAGGGCCTCCAACTGCTGTAGCAGCTGGACTGTCCGGGTGCGGCCCTGGAAGCAACTGTAGGTGGCCTCACTTATCCCAGTAACGGGGGAGACTATTTGGAAGCAGGCCCTGCAAAGTTGGGCCAGGCCATGCGGATTCATCTGTTCTCCCATTGTGTGCTAATTGATTTCACAGCAAAGTTATTTCCTTTAGAGGGTGTGTGAGATCTGTTCCATAAACATTAGGGCAGAGAAGGATTGGAACTATGCGATAACTTTAAAAATGAAATTGGTTAGTAAAACCCGAGTGGTAAGTCAGGGACGGCTCTTAATCCTTGCTCTTAACCCCCCGCCCCAAATCCCTGCAGAAGAAATCATTCCAAGTGCCTGGTCCATTGCAAAATGGGCGTCAGCCGATCTGCATCCACGGTCATAGCCTATGCGATGAAGGAATTTGGCTGGCCCCTGGAGAAAGCGTATAACTATGTGAAGCAGAAGCGTAGCATCACACGGCCCAACGCAGGCTTTATGAGGCAGCTGTCTGAGTACGAAGGCATCCTGGATGCAAGGTGAGTGTGTACCTAGAGACAGACTGGCACACCACGCTGGCCAGGCCAGCTTGGGCATTCCACTCTTCTCATGTCAGCCTGGCAGGAGCTTCCACAACTGGAAACCAGCCTTTCGGGAGCTGGCGTGGAAAAACAGCAGCTATTGTTGGGGTTGTGATTAGTGGTTTCCAGGAGGAATCCGTTTTGATTTTGTTGGCACTTGTAGAAACTCTCTTGCTGGGCAAGGGAAGGTGCCTACATGCCCATCCAGGGTACATCCTGGTGTGTGGTGTGGGCCTAAGCATATCTTTTTCCTTAGCACCTGCTTTACGCCAAACTCGGGGACTGAAGAGGCCTGGTTCACCACATACGAGCCTGGCAACCTTCCCCAAGCCCAGTCCCATCTTCTGGGTTAAGGATTTGACACCCAGGTATCAGATGCTCGCGGTCCCTCAGAAACCTTAAAGGAGGACCATTGCATGATCCAAAAACTCCGCTTCACTTCCAGGAGCCTGGAAATCTGGGGACTCAGAGAGTTGTGTCGATGGCAGTGTAATTTACAGTGGCCCAAAGGGGAAGGCTGTCCATGAGTCCCTTGGTGGATGGGTGGATAAGCAAGCAGGGAGTGTGTATAGGAATCTCCCTCTGCCTACCAAAGGAAGGCAGTTAGAGTCAGATGAAAAAGCTCGTAGGCCACACTGCTCGGGGAACTAACTAGAAGACTGCCTGCCCAGAACTTCAAAGCTAATAATCTCTGCCACATATCAAGATCCCATCTCCTTCCCGCCCCATCCGAAAGGAAGGAAAGGGAAAGTCTGACATGTGTGGTACACCCTGAACAAATTTCGGGGCCATCAGGAAAAACTGTGGCCCCGTGCTTGTATGAGGTCCCTAGAGATGGAGACCAAAGGCTGGAGAGGTGACAGTTGAGCTGTGATGGCCGGTAATGCTTATTGTGTGCTGTGCACAGTTATGGAGACGGATCGTAGTGTGCTGTTGTGAGTGTGTAAAAGTCAAGATGGACAGCTTAGTGCAGTTTTCACTGCAGGTCCTTGACAAGTTAATGTCACTGCTGAATCTGTCTCCCACCTCTAAGTAAGTTTTGATTTCTCATTTCACAAGTGAGCCTGGGCCAGTGCTGAAAGGGCAACTTGTCTCCTATCACAGTTGGCTTCTGGGTGCCAAGAGAGAGATTTACACCTACATGTTTTGGCTGCCGCAGGAGAGAGCAGTTGTTGCTGGGGCCCCTGTCAGGGCGGTGAGGGTTCCCCAGCACCTCAGGCTGCTGGGGCAGATGCCAGTATCTGGGGACTCGCTTTCTCCCTGCTCCACGTCCAGTCTGTTTAGATTATTTCTGACTGGTGCTGGGAATCCAGAGGCTGAGTCCTTCAGTTCCTGGGACAGGTTTAGGGAAGAACTGCTCCGGCAGGGATGAACAGGCTCAGAGAACCACCGCAGCCACCTCTGGATTGTTTGATGTCATTTGGACACTCTGTCAGGTCCCTAGGCAACTGGAGGAGAAAGAGGGAGAGAAGCGCCTGCTCTCCTTTGGCCTCTCGGGTCACCTGATGCCTTCCAGCCACAGCCTTGCCAAGGGTCTCCTGTGGGCTCCCAGCAGTACACGCTGCTTCACCGTGTGGAGCCCATGGGGAAAGGGACAGTGACCGAAGAGCAGCTTCTCCAGTGGGTATGGCTGCTCGCCCTCGCACCCCCACAGCTCGCCCTCGCACCCCTGCAGTGCAGATTTTACTCCCAAGTCCTCGGGAGGTGGAGGTGACCTTAGTTGATCACCTCTGTCACTGTAAAGTTTTTTCTCTTTTATTCTTGGCTCATACCATCAAATGTGTTATAAAAACAGTGCCAGCCCCTGCCCCTAACTTAGCAACTGTTGACAGTTAATTGCTTCTGGGGTAGACGCCTGGGTCACCCATGTTCTCGTAGCTGCCCTACACCCATGAGTAATGGCCACACAAATTGGGCTTAGAAGCCTATTTTTAAAAAGAATACACACCACTTGGGAGGCAGAGGCAGGTGGATCTCTGAGTTCAAGGTTTACAGCCTGGTTTACAAAGTGATTTCTAGGACAGCCAGGGCTACACAGAGAAACTCCATCTCAAAAAAGTTAAAAAAAGAAAAAAAAAAAAAGACACAGTCTGGGGGCAGTGGAAGCTGGGGTGAATATGGTATGAAATTCTCAAGATTCTGTAAAAAATAACTGTCTTTTTAATGCCATAGGCTAGGTATGCAGCTCAGTGATATAGTGCTTACGTATCCGCCCATCTCCATATGAAAAGTAATAATAGAAACATAAGACGAATTCTTTCAAGCCAGGATATAGTTCCAGCAATTAGAAGGAAGAGGTAGAACTTAGGTAGCCTTGGCTACATCATAGGTTTGGAGCTAGCCTGAGCTAGATAGATCCTGATTTTTAGAAAAGAAAGAAAGAAAGAAAGAAAGAAAGAAAGAAGGAAGGAAGGAAGGAAGGAAGGAAGGAAGGAAGGAAGGAAGGAAGGAAAGGAAAGGAAAGGAAAGGAAAGGAAAGGAAAGGAAAGGAAAGGAAAGGAAAGGAAAGGAAAGGAAAGGAAAGGAAAGGAAGAAAAAAGAGGAAATCGTTAAAAATGGACCTCTAGTTTCTGCCTGAAATCTTCCCCGATATGGTCGTGTTCACCTCGATTCACTAATGTGCAGAGAACGTGACACTCTCTGCTTTGACCCCTGAGTTTTCTCACATGATGGTTACTCTCATGGGTCACAGAAACTGAGTGACAACCATCAGTGACTTGACTGGATTCACACGATAAGACAGACATAAACATGAAGGCCAAAGGACCTCCAGGCAAAACTCCCACTGCATCTGCCACCATTGTCTCCACACAGCAAAGGGGAAGCTGAAAGGCTTCTCATGTCGGCCATGGTGACTGAGGGTGCTGTCATCCCTGTGTGCCCTGGAGAATGGACGTCTGATGCAGGCTGTCTGCATGCAGGCTGCCTGCTACTTGTTCTCCTAGCCTTCCTGCTAGGGCCTGCTGCTGTTGTCCCCTCAGCTCACCGCCTGCTCTTTCTCCCCATAGTAAGCAGCGGCACAACAAGCTGTGGCGCCAGCAGCCTGCAGATGACCCTGCAGCAGAGCCCAGCGAGCTCTTGCCAGAGACCCTGGATGATGCCCTGGACACCCGGCTGCCGTGCTTGGATGACACCACCCAGCCCGGGCTTGCAGGAAGCCAGGCCCCAGGAGGACCCTCTCTCCCTTGTTGTTTCCGAAGACTCTCAGATCCCCTCCTCCTCCCCCATCACGATGCCGCAGGCAGCCTGGTCCACCTAGAGGATCTGGAGCGGGATGCTCTGCTGGAGGACGCCGCTCAGCCAGTGGAGGTGCACAAACTGGTCCAGCATTCCCAAGAAGGAGCCAGGCACTGTGAGAAGGATGTAAAGAGGAAGCTAGACTTCTGGAGCCCCAAAGCCAGCAGTGGCTCCTTGCCTCAGGCGGGGGAGATAGAGAAGAAGTGTGACCAGAGAGCTGGGAGGTGGAGGCGGGCCTCCACCCAGCTTGACCAGGAAAACCTAAACAATAACAACAGCAAGAGGAGCTGCCCCGATGACTTCGAGGTAGGCGGGGACCACTGTGGTAGCAGCATGCCATGCCTCTTCTGCCCCACCCCACAGAGCTCTCACTTCATCCCACAGGGTTTGTTTCAGGAGGAGACTGCTATCACCTGACTGTATAGCATGTGCCTCGCTAGAGGATAGGCCATGTGTAAGGGGTACCTAAATCTTGTGATACCCCCTCATCCACAGTGGGGCTTCCGACTCGTTTCATCACCCCAGTTCATCCCTGAATCGATATGTGATGTTCCTGATTCATCTTTGCACCTGCCACAGCCCCCTGGCTCTTTCTCCTTGGATGGCTTTGAAACAAATCCCAGAGGTAGCATTCCCTTCCTGATGCTCCGTTATGTGACAGAACAGTGCTGTCCATCTTCAGCTCACGTTAGTGCTGTGCTCCTTGTGTCCCTTAAAGCTGCCAGCCTTGGGGGATGATGTCCGGGGAGCCTTCACTCCGCCCTCGGGATGCTCAGAAAGTGGCTGGTCCCACACCCTATATATCTTCCCTGTTCCAGCATCCAGTCATGACCTGGGGCGGGGGTGGGGGGGTGGGGGGGGGTGTCTGTCTGCCCCTCCAGTATTCACCAAAGGCTTGGGGCCAGGAACTTTCTGTCCCTTTGCCATGACTGCAATGAAGACTCTCAGGGAGACACTGAAGTAGAAAGTTAGTTTGTAATTAACATTCGGCTCCAATGCTAAGCAAAAACAAAACAAAAAAGCACCTAACCACCCTGGCAGTTCATCTGTTTGCCGGCCTCTAAGTAGTGAAATATGTTCCAGACCAGAAAGAACTACATGCCTCCCCCACTGCCCACCACTTCCCTTAGAGAGGACAGATGATATAAAATGCCTTTGTCTGGGCCAGTGGTGCTGTGGTTAGCCCCAGTGGCCTGACTATGAGTCACTGGATGGTGACCAGGAGGGTAGGGTAAAGGGCTCAGTGGACTCAACACCAGGACCCACCAGGACTGAACCTGGAGACAAGCAACCATTTGAATGCTTGACTCCTTTTGTTAACTGTGGCTTGCCGGGCTGGCATGGGTTCCTGTTTTGTATGGGGTGAAGGGAAGGCACACTTGAGGGCACAGTAGAACAGAGCTTGACTCAGAGGCGGGTGGAAGAGGGCAGCTTGCTAGGGACAGGCTGAGAAGCAGTGCTGTACTGAGAGGCAGGATCTGGGTAGAGAATTCGGTTTGTAAGGGGCAGGAGCTGCATGAGCCTGTTGTGGTGCGGCAGCAGTGACGGATGCGGACGGGAGTGGCTGAGGCCTCTCTGGCATGTTGGTGACACAGGGAAGCACAGGGGACTCCTTCAGAAGAGGCATAGGTGGCAGCAGAGCCTGTGAGCCTGAGACGACTTGGCAACACACAATGGTATTGGCCTCTTGGAATCGTGGCAGAATTGAGACTCCTTCCTCCACAGCCGTCACTGAAAGGCTCCTTTCTGCCAGCTCTGGGCTCTCCAGTCAGGCAGCTGGGGAAGCCACCCTCATGCTTCTCACCTTCCTCATCATTGATTGGCCTTTGAGCTGGTACAGGGTTGTCCTGGCAGGGAAGGCAAAGAGAAGTCCTTGTCCCATTCACTGAGGCCCCAGTGACCAAAAGGCAAGTGGTGTCCTTGGGAGATGGTGTAACGTGTAGTTACATGTGTTTGAGTTGGAGGCAGTCTGAAAGCCGTTTCTGCCAGTCCCCAGATTATAATGACCATGGCAGGTTGATGGTCCCCAAGTTATGAAGGACTCTGTATTTAGGGTGCAGTTAGCCTGGGCGTAGTCACCTCTGCCAGAGAGAACCTCCTTTCTATGCTGCTTTGTTGTCGTTTGTTTGCTTTTAAGTTCTAGTTGTTTGGTTTTTATATTTTATTCCAAATTATGCCTTGGTGTGTGGGTTTATATGCATGCATGCCAGCGTTTTAGGGAGCCAGAGGCATTGGCTACCCTGCAGCTAGAGTTAGGCTGTGAGCTGTCTGACGTGGCTGCTGGGGACTGAACTCAGGTCCTCTGAAAGAGCATTAGCCGGCTCTCCAGCCCTGCCACTCTCTTCTCCAGTGCCCCCTGCTTTCCAGAACAGACCATGGCCAGGGAAGGGTCACCCTGGCTAATGGCAGAGACTGAGAAGGGAGGGCCTAGGCTCTGTCCCAGCCCAGTGGCTTAAGGTCATCATTTTGACTTGTGGAAAATCAAGATCAACATCCCTTAGGCCTCTAGAACCTCTGTTCTTCATTACTGGTGTGTTCCACACAGTCTTGAACCCTGAACAAATGAAAGCACTAACCCTGCCCCCACATACACATACATACACACAGGGCTGGCCATCCCTATGCACCCCTGCCACAGTGACCCACTTTGTCCTTGTGGTTTCTGGCTCGGGATCACGCTTGCTCATGGTACTCTTGTCGCTTGCAGCACGATGCTGTGTTTGGAATCCTCAGTAAAGTGAAGCCTCCCTACACATCCTGTGCTGGCTGCATGTACCCTGCTGGCGGGGCTCCTGAGGCCTCCACAGAACGGCACGAAGACCCCAGTGCTCCCACCATCTGCACCCAGCCAGCCTTCCTGCCCCATGGCGCATCTTCCCCAATGGCCCACACGAGCTGCAGGTCCCAAGCTCCAGAGAGGCTGGCCTCTGGTCCAGCCAGCGCTCCTCCATTCCTACTACCAGCAGGCTCAAGGAAGCCAGACATCAGTGGCTCTGGAACTGGGGCTTCCCCAGAACCACCAGCAAGCCTTCTAGAGCCTTCCAGAGAAACCTCAAAAATCCTTCCAAAGTCCCTCCTGTTGAAGAATTCTCACTGTGATAAGAACACCACCAACATGGAAGCAATGAAGAAAGAATTGTCAACTAAGAAAGAAACGAAGCCAGCTAAGGACCTGAGGCTTCTGTTCAGTAATGAGGCAGAGAAGCCAAGCACCAATAGCTACCTGATGCAGCATCAGGAGTCCATCATCCAGCTGCAGAAGGCGGGCCTCGTTCGAAAGCACACCAAAGAACTAGAGAGGTTGAAGAGCCTGCCTTCAGACCTACCGTCTACCTGCAGGGACAGTGCCACCAGCAGGCTGGAGGCTAGCATCCCTGAGGAGGGCCAGGAGCCTGGACACCTAGCCCTGTGCAGCCAAGCAGAGGCTGATGAGAAACCTCCAGAAGGAGCCTTGGTGAAGAGCCCGACTCCTACCCTCCTCCGCCTAGATCACACCAGTAACTTCTCAAAAGACTTCCTGAAGACCGTGTGCTACACCCCCACCTCCTCCTCCATGAGTTCCAACCTGACCCGGAGCTCCAGCAGTGACAGCATCCACAGTATCCGAGGAAAGCCAGGCCTTGTGAAGCAGCGGGCGCAGGAGATCGAGACGCGACTCCGGCTGGCGGGTCTCACTGTGTCATCCCCACTGAAACGTTCCCACTCCCTCGCCAAGCTGGGAAGTCTCAACTTCTCCACGGAGGACCTGTCCAGTGAAGCTGACACTTCCACCATCGCCGACTCGCAGGATGCCAAGTACGGTCACTCTTCCTTCTTGCACGAACCACAGGCCACTCCGAGGGACCCTACTGCAGCCTGTAAACCATCAGGGAAATCTGTCCCAGAAAACTTGAGAAGCTGAGCAGCATTCCGCCATGCAGGCTGAGGTTCCTGGTCACACACGTCACACACGTCTTGATTTGCGTTAGCTTCGGTCATCCAGGCTTTCCTCACTCTTGCCAAAGAGCAGGGGGACAAAGACGTAACACCGCACACATGAGGGAGACCCAGAACGGGCTTGGGCGGCCTGGAGACGCAGCCAGGAGACAGCACTGAGCCTCAAGCCCTGTCTGTGGGAGATTTGGACACCCAGGCTGGGCCTGTGTCTTGGCTGTTAGAGTCTTGCCCACCATGCACCATGCCCTAGGTTTCATCCCCAGCACCCCATGAAACCAGGCATGGTAGGACACCCCTATAATCCCATTACTGGAGTTGGAGGCGTTTGGAAGTTCGAAGTCATTCTCAGCTATGTAGTGAGTTTAGACCAGCCTGGTGGAGAGAAGTCTGTACATACAAAATATTTTAATGTGCAGCCTGTGAGAGAACAGCTGTGGTAATGTCGCTGCAGCCCATGTCCCCAGCTCGTCCCCAGCTCGTTCCTGCCCTCAAGGGAGAATTCTCAGATAACAACACAAGTTCTACCTCTGTTCTCACTGTGTGTTTTGTTTTTAAAATAGTAATGACCAAGGCTCGTTCTGAGGAACAATGCTGTGTCTGAAAAGGGTTTTTCCAAGAGAATCGTGGGGGGATTGGAGGGTGAGGTCCCCCCAAAGTGTCAAGACTTTGAACCTGACCATCCCAGGTACAGTTGTGTGACATCATCAGAGGAAAGCACCGAGTGGCAGTCGTCTGTGTGACCCTCCGTCCTGGCACCTACGGTGGGGATGTGGGGCCCTCAGTCAGCTTCTAGCATCGAGCTTCCATCACTCAGTCATGAGGAAGGACTCCAGGCATCGCTGAGCCACGTCTGCTGCTAACAAGACATTGTTATGTTTGGGATTGGGACGAGCTCTTGTCCATGAGGTTGTGGGTCTGGGGTGTGGATCGTCCTACTGAGACACTGTGACCATCCCCCGCCCTCTCACACCAGGCTTGTTAGGTGCCATCTCTACATCCAGTGAGAGGAAGGTCATGTCAGTAATAAGATACTCTTGGAGGCCCTCTCCAGGACCGTTGGAGTAGTGGGTCTGGTGACAAAGCCTCAGATGTTTGCATGCATCTCTTCCTGCAGGGCGAGTACTCCCTCCTGTCCAAATGATGCTCCCATACGGGCCACAACACAGGTGTTAGCACAGGTTAGCTCAATGCAGCAGGAGGCCAGGGCTCTGGGTCCAAATCAGGCACCTTAACTGGTGCCCATAAAGAAGACAGTGACAGCAGGATGCCGGGAGGGAGGGAGGGCCTAGTTTGGTGATTGGCAGACTAGGAGGTGCCACCCTGTGTGCTGAGCATGACTTCTCTGATTTATTTTGTTTCTGCTATGGAAATGGTGTATTGGGGGTTTGGGTTTTTTGAGTTGGTTTTTTTTTTTCTGCGTAGCCCTTGGTGTCCTGGAACTCACTCTGCAGACCAGGTTCACCTAGAACTTAGAGAGATCCTCCCGCCTCTGCCTCCCAGAGTGCCCCTCCTAGGGTTAAAGACTCGCACCACCATCACCTGGCTTTTTTTTTTTTTAATTTCAGATAAGGTTTTACTATGTAGCTTTGCCTGTCATGGCACTTTGGAACTTGCTATGTAGACTGTAAGCCTCAAACTCAGCAAGGCTCTCCTGCCTCTGCCTCTCGAGTTTACCTTTTTTTTTTTTTTGGTAGAATCCAATTGTGCAACCCAAACTGGCCTCAGACTCCAAGATGCCAAGATTACAGGTCTGATCCTATCCTGCCCCAGGTTTGGTTTTTACATTTTGAAGCGTTTGTCAAGAGATAGATGAAGCTGTTGGCAGTGGCGTGGGCTTGTGATCTTGCATCAGGAGACTGAGGGCTGAGGCAGGTCCTTCATGAGTGAAAGGCCAACCTGGACCACAAAGTGACCCTACCTCAAAAATAGTAGCCCTGACAGGGACGATGTCACCTGACTCAGGCATCTCCGCAGGCCCTCCAGCTTGCAGACTGATCATCTGATGCCTCAGGACCAGGTGTGGTACTGCAGGGAGACATTGGAAGGCTTCCTTTGCTTCTTGGATGTCACAGACCAGATACTTCCTCCTCATGCCCCAAACTATGCCAGCCTTTCCCGTTACCACTTGTGCAGATGGAGTCCCTGTGGCCACGACCACAGCTCTGTCCTGCAGTTGGCTGGTTCAGCCAGCTAGCTAAGCAAGACCACAAAGCCTTCAAGGACTGCCCGTGCCCTGAAAGTGGATGGATTGGAGTTAGTGCGGCTCCCAAAACGCCCATCCTGGAGAATAGCCAGCTCATCCCCAGGAACAAGGCTAGTCTCATCGGTGCAGGGTCTTCATGAGCCTCTATCTCAGAGATTCTCCCCAGCAGGATCTAAAAAAAAAAAAAAGACATGTATGTTGGTTTTGCTTGTTTGTTTGTTTTTTGGTTTTGGTTTTTCGACACAGGGTTTCTCTGTGGTTTTGGAGCCTGTCCTGGAACTAGCTCTTGTAGACCAGGTTGGTCTCGAACTCACAGAGATCTGCCTGCCTCTGCCTCCCAAGTGCTGGGATTAAAGGCGTGCGCCACCACCGCCCGGTTGTATGTTGTTTTATAGGTATTTGTTTTCCTACCAATGTCAATGGTAAGCACCTTAAAAAGTGATTATCCACTACTTATTCCTGAGACCCTATAGGCTTCTCCATATTCCTCCAGCCAACAAAAGCAAACTTTGAAAAAGACCAACTTTAACAGATGTCTCCAAGTTTAATTTTGCGTGGTGGATCAATTTTTATGTCAACGTAATTCCTTAGCTTTGGTAATGATAGATTTCCACCGGATCTCTAATCCCGTCTGTAAGGGTGGCAGGATTCTGAAAACCACAATTTGTCCTTTTCTGTTCAAAGAATAAGAACAGGAGGATGATCAACTCAATGGGCCTTTGACTTCAGGCAAACTGATGTCTCTTTTAGAAGCACTGGCATATCAGCCAGCAGGGGGCTGCCGCCCTGTGTCGTCCCCCTCCCCAAGTCACCAGAATGAGACCCTGGCTTGATGGCTTTCGCTTTGGCTGGAGGGTTCAAGCTATCGGTTGTCACGGTGGATTGGCATCTAATCTAAAGGGTTCTGTGGAATTATCCTGCCAAACCAGGCTCACCTCCGCAGTGACAACTACACATTGTCTTATGAAAAGTTTGTTCCAGCCAGGCTTGGTGGCACACACCTTTAACCTCTGCAGAGGCAGGTGGATTACTGAGTCCAGGGCTACAGAGACCCTGACCAAAAACGTTTGCTTTGTGAGCTACTCATCCATGCCTGGCTAATGCTCTGTGTATAATCTTAGCAAATTATGCACACACAGAAGAGGCACATGGGGCAAGCAGAGGGATTTGTGCAGCGTAAGCCACTGCTGAATTGAATTGTCTTCATTGAATGAAGAGCTTTCCCCCTAGCTGGATGCCCTAGATTCTCAGCTACCCTCCTTGTTTCTGCTCACCTGCATAGCCTCCCAACAGCTTGAACCTTGTGGTGGCCTCGCCTTTCCTCAACCCAGAAGGCTTCTTGAAGTGTAAGGGAGATGGATACTAGATAGAGGGGGTGGGCAGTTGAGGTGCCTGATTACATGAGCTAAGAGCAAGGTGTCCTCTGCATCCCCAGCCCTGTTGTCCTCGGTAGGGAGACCCCTGCCAATTACACAGGGCGCATCCCTGTGGCTCAGCCATGCAGATACTCACAGGTACCTGGAGAGCTGCGCTTCTCTAGCAGAATATCCAGCCCTGCTAATCTAAAGCCCTTCCCTCTGTCCCATAGAAGCCCAGAGGGTGCTGCAGAATGGAGCCAAGTTTGGCACATACAACCCCATCAGGGTAAATACATTTTACCTGTGACATGGCACAGAATCACCTGACCTGGTTCCCATCCCGAGTTCCTGCTGATGATAAAGACCAATGAAGGTCATTGATGTTTCCCTGTCCATAGCCCCCTGTTTTGTTATTGTTGGGCGTGAGAGTCCACTCTGCATGCATGTATGTACATACGTTTTTGTGTGTATACCTTATATATTCGTTGTGTGTTTGTGTGTGTGTACCCGATCAAACCCAGTGTGTGGCATTTCTCTCATCGCATACTGTGTCCTCTAGCTATGCAGTAAGTCACCCTAGACTCACCTGCAGTGATGCCACCAGGGGCCATCTGGAGAAGGGTGACCACCTTGTCTGTCCCTTTTGCAGTAGACACCACCGTCCCTGCAGTCCCTGTCTTCGGCAGGAGTCCTGACTGTGCAGCCTCTGCTGCCCTGGCTGTTGGCCTTGCTGCATGAGAAGATAGCTGCCTCCTCTACACTGTAATTATTGTTTTACAATCGAGTGCCTTAATAATCGTTTACAAATACTGTGTATTTATGCGCAACTGTTCAGCTCTCATCTGTTGTGGCTGGGTACTCTGTCATGTCCTGGTGGTTGAGATTAGGACTTGAGTTCCTCTCCCCCCATTATGTTTATTCTGCTATGCAGTTGACATTTGTGGTTTGTGACTACAGAGCCTGCCAGAAATGGCACTGTTGAGCTCCTGCAGGCCAGGTTGGCGTCAGCAAACACCACAGCCCATGGTAGCCAATGAAAGTGTGATTGGTTTACCAGGCATCTGGGAGGTGGTGCAGGCCCTGCATCCCTGACCCACAGCCTGGTACGTCCCCCTAACCCCTCGCAGTTGAGCTCTGGATTGTAGAAGTTTGTAATCCCTAGTCCCCTTCACACCCCTGTTCTCCTGTCCATATCTTCAGCTCCTTGCAGCAGATCCGGGGTGCAGCTCACCCCAGATGAGCCACACCAGACCACGTCCTTCACCGTCAGAGGCTGCCGCCGGCCCCATGCGTCACATCACAACTTTGATTTTTCTATTGTTTTTATATTATATATTTAAGAGGCAGTATCTTTTGTACTGTGAATTTGCAGTAGAAGCATAGTGCACTTTTTTTTTACTTCTGTTGGTGTGTACTGTATATAGTCTGCGTGCTTCTCGTGATGAAAATAAACACGTCCTTTATAAATGTCTCGCAAGTGCCCGTGTGTGCCAGAGGCCCCGCCGCTAGCCCTTGCCAATACCTCTGTTATGCTGTTCCCCGTTATCCTTGGCATAGAGGAGCCGCGCTAGCGTCACCCCAGAGCTCTCCCTCCCAGTCCAGTCACCTGTCGCTGGGGTTGGACCAGTAGAGTACAAGCCAGACCCTGGTGACACACACCTTTAATCCTGGCACATGGAAAGCAGAAGCAGGACGATTTCTGAGTCCAAGGCCAGCCTGGTCTACACAGTGACTTCCGTGCCAGCCTGCTGCAGAGTGACATCCTCTACCAAAAAAAAAAAAAGCTTCTTGAGATGTTTGGGTTTTTGTTTGTTTGTTGTTTTGAGACACAGTTTCTCTGTGTAACCCTGGCTGTCCTAGAACTCACTTTGTAAATCAGACTTGCTTCAAACTCTGAGATCTGCCTGTCTCTGTCTCCCAAATGCTGGAAAGATGTGCACCACCCACCTTTAATTCTAGCACTCAGGAGGCAGAGACAGGTGGATCTTTGTGAGTTTGAGGCCAGCCTGGTGTACAGAGCAAATCCAGGACAGGCTCCAAAGCTACAAAGAAACTCTTTCTCTAAAAGCAAAACAAAAAGTATGCCACCACCACTTGGCCAACCAAATTTTTAGAAAGCATCTGGGGGCGGGGGGGGGGGGACAAGTCCTTAGTTCATGGTTGCAAAGGTTTCTGTCCTGGGTTATGCGGGTCTCTTACTTTGGGGGCCCATGGCAAGGCAATATATCACAAAGTAAAACTGCTTACTGGAACTCGATGCAGGGAGGGACCGGAGTGGTCCCCAGTATCCACTTGAAGGGCACACCAGTGACCCAGTATTCTCCTAAACCTCACCTCAAGCGAATTCCATCAGCTGCGACATCCTTAACTGCATTGGCCTTTGGGACACGTTTAAGGTCCCAAACATAACACCTGGTTACCGAGGAAGTCAGGCTGCCATGTCTTAAAACTGCCTGTCCTAGCCCTGCAGTTGGGAAGAGCCAAGGTAACTCCTGTTCCCCATATTGACTGCACCACTACTGGAGAGGGAGACTTTTGGTCCCGCTCTCCCAACCCCATGGCTAGGTAAGCCAGTCATACAGAATTTGTCAGGTGCATGGATGGGACAGTAAGTCCACTCTGCCCAGATGCTGAAGTATGTTCCAGTTCATCTCAGTTTGCTTTCACAGCTCAAGAGACTGAAGAGGAAACCAGGGTGTGTGTTAACTCACCGCAGTGAAACAGCCAGGTTAACAGCCCCAGATAAACTCGTGAGTCAAAATTGCCAGGAAATAATCTAATGTGAAATTAAAAGATTAGTCCAGCATGGTGGTACTTGCCTATAACCCCAGGACCAGAAGTTGAACGTTATCCTTGGCTACTTAGTAAGTTTGAAGCCAGCTTGGGCTTCGTGAGTCCTTGTGTGACCAGCACTGGGGAGACTGAGGAAGGAGGAGCATTCTGAGATTCAGGCCACCCTGAGCTACAATGTGAAATTCATCTCCGAAAGATAAAGTTATGGCCAGGCATAGAACTCAGTGGCAGAGTGCTGACTTCCATGTGTACAGGGCCCTTAATCCCCCCCCCCCGCCCCGACTGGAAAGAAGGTAGATGGAGAAAAAAGAAGAGGGGGAGGCCAGAGGGCAAATCTAAGTCAAAGCACACTGTCCACTGTAAAATGTGGTCAGTCGGTTGGTTGAAGATTTTTAGATTTTATGTCATGTGTTTATGTGTCTTGCTCACGTTTGTGCACCACGCTCATCATGCCTGGTGTTTACGTAGACCAGAAGAGGACATTGTATCTTCTGGTACTGAAATTAATGAGGCACCATGTGGGTGCTGGAGTCTAACCCCAAACTGCTGAGCCATCCTCAGTTCCTGCTCAGAAGTCTTTTAAACAGATGCATCTATGGTACAGGTGGGGCCCACACCTCTCTGGGCTCCGCCCACAAGTCAGTCTAGAGCAGTGTTCTCAGTCTAACCAATCCTTTCACAGGCTTGCTTAGCATATATCCTGCATGTCAGGTATTTACATTATAATTAATAACAGCAAAGTTACAGTTAAAAGTAGCAACGAAAATAACTATGGTTGGGGTCACCATACCATGAGGAACTGTGTTAAAGGGTCACAGCATTAGGAAGGCTGAGAACCACTCACTGGTCTAGGGGCAGGTCCCAGCAATGTGTATGTTTACCATAATACTCCAGAAATCCTGATAGCCATATTTAGAAACTGCTGAAATAAGAATGTGATATAGTCTTACACTTTGCTAGGTACAACCACATTTTATACATACTTTGAGACAACACCCACACACACACACACAACAGCACGGGTGTTCTTCAGACCCCACATACCTGTGAGCTGCAGGCCCTCAGAGCATGGCCCTCTAACCATGCCAAGGTTGTGTACAATCCCAGATCACACCTTCAGTGTGAGTGGTTTTGCTAGGGAGGCACCAGTGTTTACTTAAGCTGAGGATGGCCTTTTGTGGTGAGAGATTGGCAGACTCTCCAGAAGGCTTGGGATTTCAGAAGGGTTCACACCAGTCTAAGGACGCTGCATTGTTCTGTCTAGAGTGTTCAGCCCAAACACAAGAGTACACGTGTGTGTCTGTGCTTGGTGCCCAAGGAGGCCAGAAGGGGGTGTCAGATCTCCAGGAACTAGAGTTACAGATGGCTGTGAGCTGCTCTGCACTTGCTGGGACTAGATAGAACTCAGGTCTGCTGGAAAAGCAGCCAAGTGCTCTTAGCCACTCTGCAGCCCCCTGATGTCCCTTCAGGTGTAACAGGAAGGTGGACCATCAGCCCTGTAGTAGTCGGTACCATTTCGTGCTCCATACTGCTGGGCTCCACAAGGTGACTTCCATATACATGTAAGAGCCCAGCTTCAGCCTGAAATTCCTTTTTTGATGAACTGTTCCAGCAAATAAAAATGTTTCCTTTATTAGCTCCCAAACCAGAGGAGGATGTACTCACATCTAACTAACACTGAAAGGCTGATTCTCAAGGTTGGGACGTGGCTCAGGGGTAGACTACTTTCCTAGAATGTGCAAGGCTGAATTTCAATACTAACACCAGAAAGAAAAAGAAGAAAAGAGAAAGGAAAGAAAAAAAGACAATAACTTGTATGTGGTGTTTCATATTTGTAACCCTAGCACTGAAGAGGTGGAGGCAGAGTATCAGAAATTCAAGGTCACCATTGGCTACAGAGTGAGCTCAAGGCTAGCCTGAGCTACAAGAGGTCATGTTTCCAGAGCATTCTTGCCTTGTCCCGAAGACCAAGAAGCCCTTCGCTCCACTGCCCACATTGGAGGTGACGGAAAGCCAATTCAGAGTCCTGAGAGCTATTGAGCGTGATGAGGAGATTCACGGTCAAGTGACTGGGCCTGACGACTGGGGACTTCAGGGCAGGAGAGACCCAACGACCCAGAAGTGGTGGTGCAGACGTTTTACTCCGACTTGGGAGACTAGGAACCATAGCTTCAGGCTAGCCTGGGCTACATGAGACTCTGGTGGTGGACACCAGTACTCAGGAGACAGAAGCAGGTGAATGTCTTATGAGTTTGAGGACAGCCAGGGCTATAGAGTGAGTTCCAGGCCAACTAAGGCCATATAGATGCTGTTCCAAAAACAGAAGAAAAGAAGAGAGAACCAGAGCCAGGCTTCCTACACTTCCTGATAGTGGATATCAAAGTAGGACCAGAGGTCGGCATAGGCACATACACATGCAACCTGGCACTGGGGAGACTGACAGGAAGATCCCAAATTCAAGGCTAGCCTGGTCTACATACTAAAACCCTGTTTCAAAAGCAGAAGAGCTGTGTGCATAAAATGCAGGGAAGACAGTGCTACCAGTGGGGCCAACCATGTCTGCTGACACTGCTCCTGATGCAAGTAAAACATCTCTCCACGGGCACATGCTCCGTGTTGCATGGCTGCTGCCATAGGCACTAACAGGCGGAGGAGGGGAGGGCACACAGTTGTTCCATAGGTACTCAAATCTGCAAAGGTTCAAGGGAATTTAAGGCCAGCCTAAGCTGCATAAGACCCTGTCTCAAAAACAAAACAAAACAAAAGCAACCAAACAACAACAAAAAAGGGAAAATAGAAATAACCTCATCGTGGAGTTCCAAAAAATTACTAGGAAAGTCAAGTACAGTGGCACATAGCAGTAATCCAGCGACTGGGAGGGCTGAGGCAGGAGAATTATGAGTTTGAAACCAGCCTGGGCCACATAGGGAGATTCTACTTTAAACAAAATGTATCACTAGCCTTGTATGATGGCACAGTCCTTTAATCCTAGCACTAGGGAGGCAGGGAGATCTCTGAGTCCCAGGACAGCCTGGTCTACATAGTGAGTTCCAGGACAGCCAGGGCTACACAGAGAAACCCTGTCTCAAAACAAAACAAAATATATGTGTAATGAGCACACAGTAAACCCTCCGGAACTATGGTCTTGTGTATTGTATAAAGTTGGTCCAGGTTGTGAGATAAGTCATCCTTCAAGGACAGTAATGTCCACAAAGACATTGAGTGGCCCGTTCACTGACCAGAGCCTCTGCTTCCTGCCTCATTGGTACCTCTTTAAAGGCGAAGAGGCGCAAATGCAGGATCACTGGAGAAACAACCTTCAGCAGGGATGTGCACACATCCTCCCCTATGGATCCCATCCGAAGTATAGAATCTCTAGAACCAACCCCAGGGCCTGGGCAGTTTTTCCCATGGGGAGTGGAACAGGGCAGTCTGAGAGTGTGAGCTTGTCCCTGCTGCAATCTAGAGGCAGAGGCACATCCTGTTCTGCGGTTGCCATGGTATATCTGAAAACATCTGCCACAACACAAGGCTGGGGTGGCGCCTGGCAGCGCAGCTCTGGCCCAAGTAAGGGCTTGGGTGGGCTGGGCACCAGACTGAGCAAGGCCTGCATCTGGGCAAGGATTAGGGAAACTTCCCCGATCTCCCACGCACATATGCAGTTTAACACACACACAC